CTGGCACCTTGTACAATGCCTGGCATATAGTAAATGCTCAATAAATATTCGTTGAATGATTTTCCCCATTTTGCCTCCAAATTAAGCTATTTATTTTATAGTTTCAAGGCTTTCAATTGCTTTTATGGCAAACTAAGGAGTTACCTAGGAAACCCTCATGAACTGGTCCTTGGGACTCTTCTGGTTTCTTTCACTGCTATCCTACTTCCAATTTAGGTTGTAATCTGATGCGTTTACCCTGTTTGAGCTCTGATGCTTGCCATGTACTATTGTTGCCTCTGCCCGGAACCCCCCTCTCTCCTTCACTATAGGTGGTAGAATCCACTCATTCTGGCATTGGCTCATATGGGGCATCACATTGATTTGTTCATCTATTTACGTGCTTATAGTATTCACTACAGTACCACTCCAGAGACTGTGTCTTATTCACTTGTGAATTCCAGCCTCTAACACAATGGCTCACAGAGTAACCCTCAATATATAAAAAACTGAATTGAATTGAAATTGCACTCTCCTCTACTATATTTTTTAGTTTTTAGAAAATGCTTTTAATGGGTCTTCTAGAATGATGAAATGTCTTTAAAGCTGCAGTGAAACCAGGGCAATAAGTTTAGAGCCATAATTTCTTGAAAGAGTGATGAAAAATCATCGTTTATCTCTGAGCCACCCTACTGAGATCACAGCTTGGACACTGAGCTTAGTTTTATACACCTTATGTTCTAGGTAACTGGAAGATGATTGCAAAAGATGGCACTAAGAAGGATTAAGTGTGATTATTTATGAGGCATAGTTAAAAGCAGACAGTATGCATATGTTCACTAGCTATAGGGAATAGACAGATCTCTAAATATCCAATGAACAAATCTACCCAAGGAATACATTTAACACAGAACAACAAAGGGAGAAAGAAGATGAGAGAATAAAAAACATAAGTGAAAAATTTAGAAAATTTTTAGCACATCATAAGATGGCTCTTACTAGCAACCAGAATTCTCCAATGGTAGCCAAGAAGCTTAATGATCACAGGTTGAGAAATGTGTGAAGCAGACTAGAGCATTTGGGTACGACTGACTTTCCCAAGCTTTCTATACTTTGTATTGCAAAAATAATGCATTGTTTTTCCTTTTTTCTAATATAATATTTTTGTATTAGATATTTTTTTAAAATAAATCCCAAATTTCTAATAAATTACACATAAATAAAGATTCTTGTCTGAAGGTCTGAATTATGACCTGTAACATATGGTTAAGATGAATTATGCAGAGGGTTGAACTCTTTGACCTCTATGGCCTTTTTAGTTTTGAAATTCTGTTTCCATGGTAAAGATTTCCCTGTAGGCCATGTGTGCTTGAAGAGGATGCTGTTCGAAGTGTTTGACCAAAGCTGAAGAACATTATGTGACCCCCAGTTTTTCTACACACAAGGATGGCCCTAAGCTTCGTGATAATGGGGGATTATTGTGTAGTTACCAGTGCCTCTTACCTTTATGATTTAGTTGAATGATACAAGTGGTACAAATGTCAGGCTTTTCTAGTACTTACCCTGTTTGCTTTTGTAGCCATAATATAGTCATTCGTTAACCACATATTTATTAAGTGCCGACTACTGAATAACACAAAAATAAAGTCCTTTTTTTTTTTTTTTTTTTTTGAGATAGAGTCTCGCTCTGTCACTTGGGCTAGAGTGCAGTGGCACAATCTTTGCTCACTGCAGCCTCCGCCTCCCAGGCTCAAGTGATTCCTTGCCTCAGCCTTCTGAGTGGCTGGGACTACAGGTGTGAGCCACCATGCCTGGCTAGTTTTTGTATTTTTAGTGGAGATGGGTTTTCACCATGTTGGCCAGGCTGGTTTCAAACTCCTGACCTCATGATCCGCCCACCTCGGCCTCCCAAAGTGTTGGGATTACAGGCATGAGCCACCGTGCCGGGCCTGAAAACAAAGTTCTTACCTTCATGGAGTTTACCTTTTGTTTGAAGGAGACAGATGATAAACAAAAGGACAAATAAATGAGGCTATAATTTCAAGTAAAGATATTTGCTATGAAGAAGTGCTATAATGGCACAATCCATAGAAGTCTTTCACAAAATTGCCTTCTGGGTCTAAAAGTCACCCAGATCTTGATGCTACTTTCTTAAAATATCCACGCAATTTACTCATGTTTCAAGTCCATAAAATGAAAAACACAATGTTTTCAACATGTTTCTTTAAATTTCCTTTTCCCCTTTTCTTAATCTTCTTTCTCCTTGCACTACCACACCCCAAAGCTCCCAAAGCACCCTCCTTAAATGCCCAAAGAGTTCCTATTCCCCAGTGTAAATGAGGCTTTTGCTATTGTTTGGTTTGTATGTCTTCGTGAGGATTTAGAAAGTACAATCTATCTTAATTGCTCATGAGTGATACAAGGTGTTAGGCTGCTTGGGCTTTTTGTATTTATCTACTTAGTTTCTGACTTATTCTTATTCTGTTAGTTTCAGTGACATGAGCTTGTGGTAAATCAAAGCAACCTGTAGTAGATATTATTGGTGCCCTGCCAGTATGCTATATTCCCTTACTATTTCAGTGTATACCAATCTGACTCTTATTTCTTCTATCTCTGGCTTTCTGTGGCCACTGAGGCAACTCTGTCTACTCTTAGAGCATGGCAGATAAGGCAGGGTCTTAATAACCCCTAAAAGTAGCCCCCAGTCATTGACGGTAGTGGTGTTTAAACAACCCAGTTACCTTGTCCTCTTGGTGGAATCACTCAGTCTAAGGTATGTGTTCCACATTGTTTCCCAGAGATTCCTAGGAGGATTAAGTTCTGGGTGCCCTTAGCAGTAATGTGCTAGATAAGCCATCTTTTTTGTCTTCTCTTCCCTATTTCACTTTCTTAGTCTCTTACTGGTGTTTCCTGCAATAATCTTCTAAATAAAATACTTGCTCTTGAATACCTGTCTCCAGATCTGCTTCTTGGAGAACACATACTAAGGTGGTTATTAATTCAGTCAAGTTGCAGATCAGACAGTAACCTCCCACTGATCGTCTTGGCACTTGAAGGTCCTGAATCCAAGGCAAGTGCCATGTCTTCATGCTCTTTGTGAATGTATCTGTTGCTCAAGGTCATGGGTGACCTTGAGCCCAGCAGTCAGCATTATCCACAGCTGAAGTAATACCTATGTGCTCATGTTAGGTTATCCGACAACAGTGTAATAATCATTAGACACCACTGTTTAGATCCCGAGTATGTTCATGACATTTGCCTTTTGACTGCTAAGTAGAAGATGTAATGATTACAGGCTGATGCTTTCTCAGGAGGAGGAAAGTTATTGAGCTTTCCAATTTCATATGCTCCTGATTTTCTTCCACGTTTAGTCTGGCTGCTGACACATGTGTTGAAATCTTTCATGTCGATCAGCTTGAGAATAGCTGGGACTGCTGAGCTAAGTCTGTGCTCATAAAAGAACACAGAATTGTATTACAGGAAATGACCCCAAATTGACATAAGATTAGGCTAGGAAGCCTGAACAGGGGTTTTAATCTCTACGCACAAAATCAGTCTGTACATATATTGATCACATTCCTGCTCTTTTAACTATAATTTTTTTTCAATTTCACTTTGTTATTCACAATTTGATAATATTTTATGTGGTCATAGTGTCTGTGTGATGAACTATAATCCAGTGTGACATTCTCTGAGACTCAAGCTTACAAAGACATCAGAATTTCACACCAGGACTCTTTGTAGGACACCTTACTACTCTCCATGGGATTCAAATATCAGAAATGATGAGAGATCTAAGACTTGATGTAATCACCCGCATGTAATGAATCAGGCCAAAGAAAAAAGTGAGAGATAGAGAAAGGAAATGGTGCTAAGGAAAATGGGGACCTATCTTAGTGTTTGTCTTAGAGTAACTGCTCTTTGTTTTTCCTGATGTAATGGCAAGAGTCTGAGGCAGGAATCTAGTCCCTGCTTAGGAGCTGCATGACCTTGTGAAAATTACTTAGGTGTTCTGCAATTTGTAATTGCATTTATTGCAAAATTAAGTTTACTTTTCATACGTCACTAGACTCAGAGCATTTTTATGTTAGGAACTGGGTCTGAATCAATGATTTCTCCAGCACCCACATGGCATTAGGCACATAATACATCAATAATGATTTTGGATTAAAAAAGGGAGCAAGCACAAGGAACCATGGTGGTCAGAGACGGGTTGAATTCATCTGCTCCAGAGAAAGGGAGACTAGAGGAGAAAGGTCACACTGGATTTCGTTCAATTATTGAAAATACGGTGTATTTACTATGTGCTAGGCACTTTTCTAGGTGCTAGAAAGACTACAGTGACCAAAACAAAAATCCACATCTGCATGGATCTTGCATTCTAGTGAGAAAGTAAGATGGTAAAAAAGATAAATAGGTAAATTTTATACAATGCTTCGTAACGACAAATGCTAAGAAGAAAAACAGCACAGAAAAGACAGAAAAGAAAAGGGAAGGGGCGCATGTGGTGCAATTTTGTTAGGATGCCAGGGAGGGCTGAGCGTAGTCGTCAATGACCACATCATTTGACGGATCAAGCCAGGGACTGCGAGTCTGTGTTTCTGAGAGACACATAAAGAAAAGAAGGCTTCAGGAATCCAGAAAGATCCAGAGTGGGGAAATGAAGTGAAAAGAAATCCAGTCCAGTGGGGAGTCGTGAAGGGATAAGTTAAACGCGTTTTGGGAGTAAGGAAGAAAGCAAAAGTGCGGTACAGCTTTTCATTACACGTGAAAAGAATCATGTTTCTTTTTCTAGTTAGAAAAAGCTAAAGATTGTGCGATTTATGCCTAAAACCCCCTTCTAAGGGGATTCTCACCTTAACTTGTCTTCCGTGGTCAGTGTTTCCCGCCCCTGAATCTGCGTTACTGTCACTATGGCTTTCAATTGGCCCGGCTTAGGCGCATGCTCTGCGCTATTGGTCTCCGCTCCTGTCCCCAGACAAGCGGCCATCTTGGGTCCCGCCCCTACCGTGGGGTCTTCTGGGAATTGCAGTCCCCGCTCCGCTCTGTCCCGTCACAGGACTTTTTGCCCTCTCTTCCCGGGTCCCTCAGGCGGCCACCCAGTGGGCACACTCCCAGGCGGCGCTCCGGCCCCGCGCTCCCTCCCTCTGCCTTTCCTTCCCAGCTGCCAACATCCTGGAAGGTAGGGGCGGGGAGGCAAGCCCAAGTGGAATAGTGTTTCTGGGGCGCGGGTCTGGGTTTCCACGCGCGTCTGGTCATCACTCCGGAGCCCAGTGGGGCCGGCGCCGCTCACGGGGCGGTGGGCTTCTGTCCCGAGGACTCTTCCGCCCCACGAGGGTTTCAGGGTGGGGACTCGGGCCCCCTGATTCCCAAGCATCGACCCTAGCCCTAACCCGTTACTCCTCCACCGTATTTATACGTGGGGAAACTGAGACACGGGGCCACGCCAGCGGTTCCGGGGACGCCACAGCTCTTGGCTCTGCGGGTGTAGTCGGCACCCGCCGTTTTGGGATGGTTCGTCAGTTTCATAGACAAGTAGCGAAAATCCGTCCCAACAGGTCTGTGTTAAACACGCAGCTCTGGGTTCCCCTAAGGGGTTGCTGAACACGTGCGCAGGACAGGAGCAAACCGGGGTACAGAGAAGGCAGCATTGTGGGAGATAAGTTTACATTACTATTTCAAAAACAGACAAAAAGGCATCGAATTTATTGTTGTGGGAGAATTCGTCGGTACTTGGTCGGACTTTCTTACACCTATTTTATGGTTTGTTGTTTTTATTTTTAGCGTCAAAGGGGTAATTTTAAAGGTATATCCGAGTTGGGGGTGGCGGGGTGAAGGAGGCAGGTTAGTGGAACTTGAGATGCATCTGCAGGTTTCTCTGTAGGCTTAAATTCTGCCCTCGCTGTGTTACCTTGGAACAGCCACTCACAGCGCTTATCTGGGAAACAAGGAGCCCAATGCTCCCAGGTCAAGTGGCCCAAGGATGCTGCCTGAAGCCGAAATCTAAATTGAGGTCATGCTTGCGAAAGTTTACCACTTGCAGATTTACTGCTGTTATTATTCTGGTCTCTCAGAAATGTGCTGGGACCAGTGGAAAATACCCGCAGTGGTTGTTTTAGAAAGGTTCTGACCCGGGCCGGGCCCAGACTACCAAGGGCGGTCCCTACTCGCACCTGATGTTAAGCCTTGGTTTAAGCCTGCGGCCGGAGGCCTGGGCAGCGGAGGCTCCTGGGAGTTGCAGTCCCGCCCCCTGTTTCTCGTCGAGCAGGTACTCCACCTCGTGGCGTGCCATTTTGCACGGCAGATGTCTCCTGGGAGATGAAGTCTCGCTTCTAGCCTTTCTGTAGAACAGCCGCTTGACTCGGAACTACAACTCCCATGTGGACCTGCGTTCATGGCTGCCGGGCTCTGTCCACCTGCTGCAACCTGGACTAGAGATGTTTAGTAAAGAAAGAAGTCTAGGGTTTTGTGTGTGTGTGTGTGTGTGTGTGTGTGCGCGCGCGCGCGCGTGTGTGTTTTGTTACTGATTGCATATGCTGTTCTAAGTATTAGATATGGGATTGTTGTATACAGTGTTCCAAGTATTAATGTGCATGCATTCAAAACCACTAACACTCGACCATTTAGATCATGTTCACATGGTCTCTTTTTAATACTACATTTCCCATTTGTATATGAGAAAAAACTTGAGAAGATAGCCGATGATTACACAGCTGGCAATATAATATATATTCAATAAAATATGTATGATATGATTTAATCCTCTTAAAAGCTATATGAGAGTGAGAACCATTTTTATATTAACTTTACAGATTAGAAAACTAAGACTAGGAAAGCTAAGTAACTTGTTCAAGTTACAATACTGGTGAATAAAAGGACTGAGACTGTAAGCCCTTCGGCTTAACAGTGTCTGCTTAGAGAAAGACCCTACCTTACAGAGCCAAGGGAGAGTCTAACCTTTCTGGTTACAGAATTTTGAATATTTTCATTATACCATGTTGCCTCTGTAGTTAGACACTAAAGGTTTGAGCTGCAAAAACCTTTGAGATAATTTAATTCTAATGCAAAGATCTTGGAACACTTCTTGGCCTATAATAAAGGTTCCACAAATGCTAGCTGTATATTGTTGTAGAATACCTTTATTTTAGAGATGAGGAAACTGGCCCAGGTGGTAAAGCAGTTTGCCCAACGTCACACACACAGTTGGTTTGTGTCAGAGATGAGACTAGAACCAAGCGTCTTGTTTTCAAGTCCAAGGTTATTTTCATTCCACCAGCAGTCAGCTAGGAGGAACAGCAGATGTGTAGCTTTGTAGATGATGGTTTCTCCTGTAATTTGTTCTTTCAAGGCCACAGACCAGGACCAACTGTTGTAAAGTATCTTATTATTGGTAAGGTTGTAATATTTCATGAATTCAACAAATACGTTTTGAGCTTCTTTATATGGTCATCTCTCTTAACGTGCAGGGACCACATAGATGATAAGGACTTAATGCATTCGAACTGGAAGGACCTTATAAATCATCTAATCTAACTCTTATTTTATAAATGAGGAGAGTGGTATAAAGTAGTCTGCAGTCTTCATCTCATGCCCTCATGTCAAAAGCATCCTGTTTCTGCAAGAAGGCAGGTTTCTGGAGTCCTCACAATAGTGTGGATAACCTTTTCAGGCTTATGCTTTTCTATTTGGTATCCTTGTCTTGGCCTTTTTCCTGCAGCCTTTGATAGAATGCTTTAGGAAATGTTTTTGTGTCCCCATCTTTATTTGTGTATTCATGTAACTTCAACATGCTCTGTTTCCATTTTGGAAATTAGTCTGGTTTTGTCTCCCACTACTCTTTTCTCTTTTGTTCTTTCAGACACTTGAGAACAAATTCTGACACTATGTTTGCATTCACATGTTAAAATCTGACCCTCTAATATGAACTATCAGAAATCTAACAAGTTGTGACTTCCATTTTGGAAGACATATTGGCCTTTTCAATTACGTATTCACAGATAATAAGGCAGGTAACTCTGGTCTCTTCTGAAAGATGATTTCCATATAGTTGGGTAATAAAGTAACAGTTTTATGAATTGTTGGCTAAACATTCCTAAAACAGTCTATTTGAGAAGTTCTCCTCATCAACCCATGCCCCCACCCCCACGCTCTCTCAACGATAGTCTGATCATTCATCTTCCACCACAGTGCCTGACTACCAGTAGACACTGAAAAAGTACTTGTGGCATTGCATTCATAAGCACCCTGTTCCCACATCTTTTCATTGAATCTGTTTACTCTTTTAATGTAGAAGTGCAGCTTTGAAATATAAGATGTAGGAGGTTACTTTGCTTTCCACATGTACATTGCAGAGAAAAATCTCAGCCTTTGAGGTCATTCTCCAATGGATTGTCTCTTTGGGAATGTCCACATCTGTGACTTCTCAGATGAGAAAGTGATCCAAATAGTAAGACATAGCAGAGAAGCAGTAGAGGGGTTGTCTGAGGACCTATGATTTATTTCCCAGCTATGCCTTTTAGGCAAGTTACTTAGCCCTTGGTTTTCACTCTTAAAATAGGGATAATAAGCATTTCTACCTCACAGTGATGATGAAGAAGAAAGTGTGTTTAAAGCTTTGAGCATGTTGTCAGGCTCTTAACAGCTTGCAGTCAATAGATAAATATAATAGCTCTTATTTTTGTTATTGTAAGCCTGATATATGAAAATTCACATTTCCTCAAGATTTAAAACTTGAGGCAGATATTTATATTATAAAAGGATTTGTTTGCCACTTGTTTTCTTAGAGTAGCACACTTGGTCATCACATTTAAAATATGAAGTTCCTCACAACTCTTGATAACCTGTCTTGTCAGCACAGTGACACTCTTTTGTGTGGGCAGAGAGATAGTGAAGCTTTTGGCTCGGTACTGCCTGCTGAGAGGTGCCTGATCTATGGTTCCACCTATATATTAAATCTTTGATTTAAAAGCAGTCTGTTTCTGTCAGTGGGAACTTCTGTCTGTCTCTAGAAAGGATTGGGCCTATCCCAGGAGCCTCAGGGTTAGAGTGAGGCAGTTGTCATCCAGCTGGTGAATAATACTGGGGCAATGACCATGGGGATGTGGCAGTGCTTCTTTCTAAAGCTGACAACTTCAGTAGCCATGAGGTTACTGATAAGGCGGTGAGTTACTGAAAAGAAGTGATGCAGGGAACAGGGAAGGAGAAACAGGAATGCGGATCACAGCAACAGCAGAGGAGACGAACAAAGGAAACAGCGGAGGCCCTCGGTATCCTAAACATGTTTTTATTCAGCACATTTATCTTGCTCCTAACTCTGTGCCAGGCACTGCATCTGCTCTGGTGAGAGCAGTAAATGGGGCTGGCAGGGAGGCAGTGATGGGGTGAATGAGGGTATATTCTCGGCAGGGAAGAACCTAGTACAAGGGAGGAAGGGAGGAAGGGAGGAAGAGAGGGAGGGAGGGAGGGAATGTTGGGATTTGATGAGCAGAAAGAAGGTCTGTTTGCCTAGGGTATGAAAATCAATGGCTGGAGGAGGTGGAGAGAATAAGGCTGCAGAGGTGAGCCTGAATAATAGATTTATTTTTCTTTTTTTAAATTTTACTTTAGGTTCTGGGATACATGTGCAGAATGTACAGGTTTGTTACATAGGTATACATGTGCCATGGTGGTTTGCTGCACCTGTCAATCTGTCATCTAGGTTTTAAGCCCCGCATGCATTAGGTATTTGTCCTAATGCTCTCCTTCCCCTTGCCCCCCACCCCCCAACAGGCCCCGGTGTATGATGTTCCCCTCCCTGTGTCCATGTGTTCTCATTATTCAACTCCCACTTATGAGTGAGAACATGTGGTGTTTGCTTTTCTGTTCCTGTGTTAGTTTGCTGAGAATGGTGAGTCTGAGTAATATTATGCAGAGTTTGGTTACCTGCATTTCGACCTTATTCCAAGGGCATTTGGGAAACTGTTTAATGGCCTTAAATGGGGAAATGAAATTTTTGGATTTGTTTTCACGAAAGTATGGATGTATAGCAATGTATTGTATTATTGAAGATTACTAAGAGTGTAGACTTTAAGTGTTCTTGTTCCCAGAAGGGGGTCTTGATCCAGACCCCAAGAGAGGGTTCTTGAATCTTATGCAAGAAAGAATTCAGGGCAAGTCCATAGAGTAAAGTGAAAGCAAGTTTAT